GAGCTTGTGGCTGCTCATTGTTCGAACCTCAATTTTAGTCTATATATTTACATTACCGATAAAAAAAAATATTAGGCTAATGCGAGTTTAATTAGTGGTGAAGGTATAGGTAAAAATAGTTTTTTGGACCGATGCTAATTTTGGATTTTCGTCCTATAATTCAATTGTATTGTTTTGATCCTTAAAAAAAATAAATAATAATAATAATAATAGCTAAATAAAAAGTTAAAGTTCGTCATTTATTTTGTACTGAATTTAAATATTGAAAAAAAAAAATAATTTATAATGTGTTTGGTTCAAAGAAGGGGAGGGGAGGGAAAGGAATTTAATGGAAGGGAGGGAAGAGGAGGGGAAGGGAGGAGAAATAATTTATCTTGTTTGGATGAATTTTGTAGGAGGTGAGGTGAAGGAAAATGATTAACCTTGTTTGGTTAGAAGATAGAAGGGGAGGGAAGATAATGTTAGAATGACAAATATATCCTTAATGATGTAAGGAACAAAAAAAATAAAATAATTCACAGTAAGGTCAAAAGAATAATTTGTTGTTAAAATTTTCCCTCCCCTCCAAATTCCCTCACTTTTGGAGGGGAGCACATTTTCCCTTCGAGGAGGGAATTGAAGGGAAAATTTAAACTTCTTCCCCTTACAAAAACTTGAAGCAAACAAGAAGAAAATAAAAATTTTCCTCCTCTCCCTTCCCCTCCCATCAGTTTCCCCAAAACCAAGCATAGGCTTAAAGTTCTACTACCAACTACGAAAGATTAATAAAGAAAATTGAATCTTGATTACGGTCAAATTTATCCATTACAAAGCCAGTGACTTAATTATTATCTACATAATAGAATGTATAAATAAAGAGAAATTAAAACTATTGATTACTTAGGGCGTGATTGTTTATGAATTTTATAGTAATTATCTCACTCAAAACTCAAATTTAATTCAACTTTAACTCAATTCCACTATTTCCAATATTATCATCAACAACAACAACAACAACAACAAAGCTTTTTAGTCCTAAACAAGTTGGGGTAGGCTAGAGATGAAACCCAATAGAAACAGTGGTAAGAAAAAAAATAAAAAT